GCCAACACAGCAAATATGCTGTTCTAAACTAGTATTGCGAGAATTTTGATAACATGCTAACTTTAAAATTTTTTTGACGATCATACACTAACTGAATCATAATTCTTCCATGTTCTCTTCAAACCCATTTCGAGAATTACATCATAGATATATGGAATGATTTTAATGAACATAAAAAAATAATTAAACGTACATCAAACGTGTGCGAACTAAAAAGAAGCGTATAACTCTTCTTTTTAAAATATTTCAATTATTTCATTAATATTTATTATTTTTGAATAAAAAATTTCTTAATATAATTTGCATCATTTTATTCAAAACTTTTACATGTGGCATGACTAAGGATGACGATTTGAATCGTCAAAATCAAAAACCGCAATTAACCGAACCGAATGGGGCGAAAAAAGTCGAACCGATGGTGCAATAGGATGGATATGGTTTTGATTTTAATGAACCGGTTCGTGGCGGTGCAGGTATGGTACTTACGCCGTTTACGCCGTCAAACCGAAACCGAACCGATTACCCGCTAAAAAAAAGAACAATTGAATTGATTATTGGGTTTTACACTACTTTTCTATCTAGTCCAAAACAAAATCCCCCCATTACATCTACCTGACTCAACCAGCCAACCCACTTACCATTAGCCCATGATAATAGCATTAGTATGACTGTATATAAATGCAAACTCTACTCTCCACAAATCACAAACCACAAACTCTACTCTCCACAAATCACAAACCACAAACTCATGCACGACTCCTTTTATTGTTAATTTTTTCTATTGTGTATAGAAAATTCTACTTTTTCATCATACTCTAGAGTTTGTACAACGTTTAGCGAGAAGGAAGTTGACGAAGAGATACTTTTTTTATTTAAATCTTAGTTAAGACCATTTTGGAATAGGTAGTATTGTTGTATTCTCTACTTACATTTCTTATTTATTATATAAGAATCAACTTTGAGTGCTGATCTATGCTAGTAAGACTTGTGAGGAAGAATGAATCAAGTAACTTCGATGCACAACAATTAAGAATGAAGGAAAAGTCTAGTATTGTTATATTTATAATATTGTTTGTTAAATTTGTATTTTGCAATTGAAATTTAGGATAATGTTTGCATTTTCATTCGGAATATTGTTTGATAATGTTTGCATTTTCGTTTGGAATAGTTTGTTTTTGTTTTCATTGACTTTTTTTCATAAATTATTTTATATTAATTTGACGGATGAACCTATAAAAAATAATTTATTTTTGTAGTTATTAACCGAACCAAACCATGCCGAACCGAGACACGAACTGAACCGAACATATTTACGTGATTATGGTGTAGTTATGGTATGGTTAAAAAATTGGTGATGCAATTATGATTTTGGTCGAACCGACCCATAATCAAATCGTTGCCAACCCTAAATATGACATCAATTTATTTTTGGACGTAAAAGTTCCTAATAAAATTTTTATTAGGTTATGAATTGTTATACTACTTTTTCCATCTTGATTATTTTTACACCCAAAAGATTTATTAAAAAATATTCAATAATTTTCAGGAATTTTTTTGTTATTGTTACTTTTTTCTCTCGATAAATTAATTTTTTTAAATAATCTAATAGATTTTCTAATAAATTTTTTGATGTGACTTAGAAATTTCCTAATAATTTTTTTTAAATGACATCTCTTTTTGGCATTCATTTTAATTAATGTAAAACGTTGTCTCTCGATCATTTAGGAAATTTTTTTTAAATTTATTTACATAAAAAATTGATGTCATACCCTAAGTAAAATTTTCTAATAAAATGATGTAAATTGTATTGAGA